GAGAAGATTAATCTTACAACATACCAAGGAGGGATCTGTGTCGCAGTCTGCACTGTGGTAGGACCTGGTAAGCTTGACAAATTTTAAACACTTTTGTCTTACCATGATTAGGTCTAGTTGGTGCCAGTGTTTGGAGCGAGGATGGCGCCAAAGTACTCTGTGCTGCGGTTTAGTCTTAAAATAGGTATTAGTGACGCAGAGGGAGTGTAGTGAGCAAACCTCGAGGAGCCTTTGTCCATTTTCATTTACTTTTCCGACACCAAAACGCCCAATACAGCTGTCCCATGCAGAGATGTCAGATCCAACGCGTGATAGAGAGAGAGAGAGAGAATGATAACCTGTTACGTAGTTGGGATCTCGCTAAGAGCAGACGAAAGGTTGTCATAAAACATATCTTTGGCTTCTGGTGTGGAACTCAGAGTAGGAGGGTAGGCACATGTCAGTCAAATGTCTAATAGTGGTGTTAAGGCGTAGTGATAGGAGTCTTTCTTTCTTTGCCTTGAACTTTCGTCTCATAATTATTATTTTGCTATTTTTAGATACATAATCTAGAAAGATGTAGGTAATCTATCTATTTAAATGTATATAGATTATTAAAATCAACAGACATGAATTATTTCGATCTAGGATTTTTGAAACAGTATCTCAATGGAGACAAACAGGAAATGGCTTTGTTTCATATATTTGCGTGAATATATAGGTCTGTGATTAATATCCCATTCTAAAGAAAATCCTAGAAATGATTTTGCATTATTTCTAAACTTTGAAAACTAAAGATTATTACTTTTCTAAGACAGAAAAGGTTGATTGGGGCGACTTCCGTAAGAGCTTAAAAAGAGTTTACGTACATATATATATATATATGTCTGTGAATCGATCAATGGCGGATAAGTATTTTTTTCCGGTTTCCAGTCTAGTATAATATATAAGTCTATGCTTGTACTATTGTTTTAGCATGCAACAAAATCTGAAGATACCGGATTTTCAATAGAGCTATTTTTGTTATTTTTAATTTTAAGATTTAAACGTGAAAGACAGCACACGTACGGACAGACAGGCCACGCAAAAGTAGAATCGGCAATTTTCTTTTTATGGTTTCCAAGAAAAGGCTAAATGACTCGTTGAATTTCTGAATTAAAATAAAATAAATTAATCCATCTGTTTACTCTTTTAAAAGGATCACTACTTTGCATGCGAATCTCAGCATGCTCTTGTCCAAACCAACTTGGAGAAACGGTATTTAGGAAATAACAACAACAACCACGACAACAACTTTGACAACTGTGTGTATGTTCGTGCTTTGTGTTCAATCGTGAATAAAAAGTCTCCCAGATATCGTTGTGCGGTCTACGTCCGCCGTTATGAAACAGATTAATGTTGAAACATTTGTTTTTACCTGATGTAACAGGTGTCGTTTATTTCTGTTTGGTGTTGAGCTTTAGTTTGGAACATTTTGTTTGACCACTATTCAGCTGCGTCAGGTAATAGAAATCAACTCATTTACTCTAATCAAGGATATGTTTTTGAAAGGGTTTACTGTGCTATTGGATATAAAAAAAAAACAAGTTTTTAAAGGAACTTACTCTCTAGCTGCCTGAAAAGAGACTATCATTAAAAACCGTCAGATTATATTTTTTTTTTTGGGTGGGGGGATAAAAGTTCAAAAATGGAAAAAAAAGAAATGCATTGATTGATTAGACTTAAATATGTTTTATTTCATGTTGTGAGCATTGTTTTCATTTTATTTACTGCTGTGGTACAGCTAAGTTCGAGGATGTTGAAGCAGCTGGAACGAATGTTCTAGAATGGTTCTAAAATTGTAGGGTATTTGCCTTGCAAATAATACTAGACACTATATACTATTTATCTTAGTTAGACATGTTTTAGCCACAGATTATCATGGGAATTCGTTTTGTTTATAAACATTATTTTATACATATATAAATACTATCAGTAAAATTTCGATTGACCTTTTTTTTTTCTCCTCTCATTGGCTGATTAGATAGAACCGTCTTGACGTCACCAGGGAACACGCACGAGGTGATTACCATATAAAGGGAGAGTAAGGGGCACAACCATTTGTCGCGAACTTTTTTCAATGACTGTCGGCGAGTGAGTTGTGGGAGAAGAAAAGTGTCATAACAAAAATCATCTTCAAAAATATTAGAAACAGCAAAGCAAGTCACTCGCCGAATTTTAAGCAATGGTCATTGGGATCGTGTTTCTAACAGCATTTTCAATCAGTGTGTTCCATCATGGAGTCATCTTGGCAGAAGATAATCACTACGCCAATGAGTGGGCTGTGGAGATTGCAGGAGGTCGTGATGTGGCTGAGGAGGTAGCCAAGCAACATGGATATCGTCTGGTCAGGGAGGTAATCAGTTTGTTCTTTATTAAATGAAAAACATTTTTTATTTTATTTCCACACTTCAACAGTTCACAAAGTATCCTGCCCATATTGTCACACATTAGGCATCACTGCCCTCTTCAAGCCATCATAAGCGATGCTGAAAAAAGGTAAAGTTCCCCTTTCAGACCTTATGATGTATAAGGCAGATAATGCAAAGATCTTCTGCTTTTCTGTGTCCAACCGCCTGTACTTTTCCGAGATAGTGTCTTACCCATTAGAGCTGGATGGACTCAGAGGCGCCCAGAGATCCTAAAATTATAAATCCCAATCCCAATCGAACCATGGACCCCCAGTTCGGAAGCCAAATGGTTTACCACTCAGTCGCCGCTCCTCCCTATGCTGAACACACAATAATCTATGCTGAACACATCATAGGCTCTTCTGAACACATCATAATCTATGCTGAACACACAATAAGCTTTGATGAACACATTATAAGCTATGATGAACACACCATAAGATTTGCTGAACACATCATAAGCTATGCTGCCTTCTTCATCACATCCTAAGCTATGCTGAACACAGCATAAGTTATGCTGAATACATCATTAGCTATGCTGAACACATCATAAGTTATGGTGTCTCTTCATAACATCATAGTCTTTACTCAACTTAACAGCAATATACAATAGAGGTCTATTTGCAATATATTTTCATACTTGGCAGAAAACTATAAATAGCAGGCTGTTTTTTTTTTTTTAAGGATATGTAGATAAGCTATGCTTTTAAAGGGTTAACAGTGATGTAGTAGTACCTATTTACGCTACAGAATAAAAAATTTGTAAGCTCTTTCGTGTGTAACTTTTATTTAGTTTTCAGCTTTGAAATTTAAATTAGCGTCCTTGACATTGTTAAGTCAAAAGATCACTTATGCCAAAGTTTGTTACTAGCGAGTTTAGAAATTTGATTCGCTAAACTAAAAAGTGCAAACAAATTTAATGCATAACTTCTAAATTACATAGCGAATCTAAACCTCTTATTTCATGAACACCAGATACACCAAACAGAGAGTTATTTATAGTTATCTGCCTTGAAAATATCGAATGCACAATGTATGCACGTAAACATTAACCTGAAATCAAGATTTAAAAGGCAGCTCATGATAACACCTTTGGCTGAATCTAGTAACACTGCACATGTAACATACTCTTCGATCGGCTGAACCTTGGGGTCTGTCAATGATTTATTTAGTTCAAAACAAACATTTCGAGAAACTAAAAAGAGAACAAAATAGCTGTAAAAAATGTTTGATTTATAAGGGAGATAAATAATCAGTAGGACTTGACTACAAATTTGCGTTTTCGGACGCAATGTCATCTGTTGAGAAATTTTTGAAATTTCCTCTTAATCTCCATTCCTATGCTCCTACTGGAGGTGCGGTGGCTTAGAGTAAAGCGATTGGCTTCCGAATCGGGGTCACGGGTTCAAATCCCGGAAAAGACTGGAATTTTTTTTATTTCGGGCTCTTAATTTTGGGCGTTTCTGAGTCAACCCAGCTCTAATGGGTATCTGACATAAGTTGGTGAAAAATATAGGCCACATGACACCCTCATTAACCGTTGGACATAGAAACAGGTGACCTTTACATCATCTATCCTATAGACCACATGTTCAGAAACGGGAACTTTACTTTACTATGTTCCTATTGAAAAACTCTTTCACATTTCTTTTTATTTAACTGCTCATCGACTTTATCATCTATTTAATGAATTATATAAATCGTTTCCCATTTATGATACTAACTCATCGATTATATCCCCCGTTTGATTATTGCTACTTTCGTAAGAATTGAAAAAAAGTCGAATTAAAAAAATTATCTTTTCATATGGGCTTTTTTTGTAACATATATATATATATATATTTATTTATTTATTTATTAATATGTTTATTTATATATATTTTAATCTTCGGACTCGAAGACAAGCCTTGTTATTATTATATATATATTTATTTTAAGGATATTTTTTTTTTTTGTACTTGTAAAGATGTATTTAAATAAATATTTAAATAAAAGTTACACACGAAAGAGCTTACACATTTTTCATTCTGTATCGTAAATAGCTACTGCTACATCACTGTTAACCCTTCAAAATATATAAAGTTATATAATAATACACACTACAATTTTTTTTTTGTAAAATTCGTACACCTGTAATGGTAATCGGCCAGCGGAGGACTGACATGTGCATAAGGATTAAACCCCTGCATGTGTTTAAATATGAGAATAAAGTAGCCAATAATAAATTTATATTTCTCGTGTTTTAAACAAACAGGCTAATGTTGGTGTTATACATCAAGGTTCCATTTTCTAAGACGAGTTTTTTTAACTATAATTTATTTTTTATATATAATTATATATATAATAATAAAATTATATATATATATATATATATATATATATATCTCCTCCTTCGTGATCGAAGATGAGCACATTATATATGCTCCCAAAAATTCAACAATAATGTTGAAGGAGGCACATAGCAAAATAGGATCCGTTGTTCTCGAGATGCTGGATTCAAACTCCTAGTCTACAATACGAAGTGCTTATCACTCGGCCATCCATTATTAAACGAGTCATTGTATCGGAGTCATGGAGTCAGATCACGGAGTCATGTCACGGAGATCTTCTTTGATAGGATTACTTTAGCAGGTGAAAACTTGTTCAGTAATGGATGCTATACGCAATTTCGCAGCTGTACATGCTCTACACTTTCACACTATTAACTTACAGTAATTTTTTTTTCATACTCATCTCCCCCCCCTTTCTCTTTAAGGTTTAGCTCGTATCCCCCCCTCCTTTCTCTTTAAGTTTTAGCTCGTATCCCCCCCCCCTTTATACCCCTTTCCGCCATCCAGGAGCCGCGGCCTTCTAAAAAGCAAGCAACAAATGACGACACCCTATTATACTTGCAACAAAAGGCTATAACTTAATTCTGTCAATAATAGACCAAAGGAAACTGAACAGGTGTTGGTAGCTTATCGTGCAGTCGTGACTAAATATCGGCTTTCCTTTAGAGTTGGACAGGTCATTGGTTATAATTGGAAATATATTGAGATTATGCTATTGTAATAATTCGAATCGTTAGAGATCACTATATCAGGCTAGATCACCTCTCACAAGAGAAATAGTACTTGTGAAGGATATAATAAGTAAAATATTTTTCACAATACCAAAGTATTACTTTTTTTTAACAATATTACATTAAATCAAGCTGTATCTATCTTGAATGTTTCTTGTATGTTTTGATTTTTGCAATAGATTTTTCGACCACTTCTTCTCGTCCGATCTTGATCACATTTTGCATAGGAGCTCATGCTCAATTTCAACCCATGTATCAATAAAAAAAAAACAATTGGTTAATCAATTACGCGTAATCAATTAATTTTAAAAAATGTACCTGGCAAAGGAGAAATAAGTTATGGGGGGTATGTTAGTACTAACACTAAACACCTGTGTGAATTCTCTTGGGGAATGGAAATGTAAGCCTTTTGTTCAACTTATTTCATTCTTTGAGTGCGTCCCCGTCTCCGTTGACTCTCGAAGTCTTTCACGAGGCAGAAGAGATTTGGAGTCTTGGATTCAGAGTTTTCTTTCACCTTGGTGGGTAGCCAATCAAGGCTAATGAAGCCCTACTGCCTGAATGGTTTAAAAATATATACATATCATAATCTAGTCGTGAGATAGGGACAACATAAGCACTTTGCGTCATACACCTTCCAGCAGGATGTCCATCTTCTACCCAGGTCCGTGACTTATGTGACTTTGGTGTTTCTGTAGCTGGAGTCTTTCAAAAGGTTATGGAAGCTAGTCCTACACCCAACCCTTACTCTCTAGTGGACGGCTTAGGACCTTCCTCGGCGGAGTTAACCGAGATGTTATGAAACACATAGTAGTAGGAGAGGAAAAAGAAACAAAAAAAAAACATTAAAAAATACTTTAAGAAAAAACAACAACACTACCTCCTTTAAACAACCTTAAGAACAATTATTCCCTCCTCTCAATGTATAAATCTACAAGACTTTATAATATTCTTACGACAACTCTTAGATCTAGACTTTGAAGACTTTTTAAAACGTTCATGCACATTCATTTATTAATCTCTTGAAGAATAAAATGCCTACATTGTTTTTTTTTTATACTTTGAATATTTATAAAGGTCAAACTAGAATTTGGAAAGTGTAACCAAGGACAAGTAATTCTTTTCCCAACAGTATACATCAACTGTCAAATTTCTAGGAAAATCGTTAGAACAGTTTTCCGGATGGGCTCAAAGACTAGTTGGATATTATACATTCGCTTAACTATGATTTTTTCTAAAGGGGAGGAGGGTGGTAGGTAAAAAAAAATTCCTTTTTTTTTTAAATCCAACATTCGTTCAGATAATTGATCTATAAGTTGCATAAAGGAGGTATATTGTCATTTAAAAAATATTTTAAACTTTTTCTTGTTCTTTTTGTTCAAATAAATTGTCAACAAAACAATTTCACTTTCGCAAGATTTTATGACTTTATATGTGAGAAAAAAAATTATAGTGCAAAATGAAGATTTTAAGTGTCAGCTAAAGTCGGCCAAAGTTTGTTATAACTAGAACTAAGTTTGAGATTTGATCAGATTTAGATAAGCTTTAAGAAATAAGAGCAGCATGGCCTTAACTGCGATAAGGAAGGAATGTATCATGTGATGGGACAACAATTGAGCTCATTTTATTGTTTTGATTCTTTGTCTCACAAATAAACAGCGATGTCATTAATAGTCAAAACGATCTGCCGCATGTGTTTGTGTTTGTTGAAAAAAATTGTTCCAGAAAGCATCGTCTTTTTTTTAAATCTTGCGTTGAAAAGAAAATATTGACAATATGTTGGATATAACTCGCGGCCTGCGGGCCTTGTTTTTACTATTTTACCCGTCAATTAACATCGTAGTGACTAGTGTAGCATTGTTTACTTGAAGCATCAACACGTGACCAATAAATAACAAGGTTACGAAGACAGTTTGTGTGGGAACACAAACTCAAAATCGGCCCCAGAAGTGGACCACCCAGGCATGTAAAAAAGGCAGGTTTCAATATCTTTAGAAAGAATATCAAAATGAAATTATATCAAAAGAAATAACAAAGAAGAATGGAGAAAGTAGGTTGACAGATCTTGTGTGGTGCCCCAACGGTCCAGCAGAACAAGGCATAGGTGAAAGTGAAGAATTTAAATGTGAACCTGGCCTATTTGATGTGAAATAATAATTATCTAATTGATCTAATTGTTCTATAAAGGGTCTATCTCTTGTCCAAAGCCTCAAGACAAAAAAACATTTTCCGTAAAAATAATAATAATAATAATTCTCCCCTTCCTTCGAGTGGGAATGGCTTCTGTTTTAATAGCTGAATGGATCGATTGCTAGTATCAAATAAATGTGTGTGTTGTGGTGATGAGATAAATCCTGAGTTCAACAGGTGGTTTCGCTATATGAGCAGGTGTATGGCACAGCACACTTACACACAAGCACCATGCACACACACACACACACAAGTATCATACATACATACCTTGCGTGTCAATGTCTAGACTTTGTAGAAAGCACATGTGTTTTAATATGCAAGTTTATCTTCATTTAAAATTAAAACGATAGTTTTATAAATGCTTTCTCTCTTTCTCTCTTTCTCTCTCACACACACACGCACACACACTCTCTCTCTCTCTCTCCTCTGACTATGTATTTAAAGAATATCTTCAATAGTGTTAAACATAATGTGACTATAACAAAGTCATTTCCATATGGTACAACGAACATAGGTCATAAAACTGTCTCTGTCTTGATGTGTGCGTGTGAGCCTATGTGGACATAAAGAGTCCACATAACAAACGAACACCTGTCACAGAAGTACGTCACTGCTGTCATACGGCATCAATAACGATATATTTTTTAAAAAATGATGCTACCACCCACACACTGAACTAACTACCCAGTGATATACAAACAGGACTTACAACTTAGTACATTCACATTGCTTTACCCACACATTGAACTAACTGCCCAGTGATATACAAACAGGACTTACAACTTAGTACATTCACATTGCTTTACCCACACATTGAACTAACTGCCCAGTGATATACAAACAGGATTTACAACTTAGTACATTCACATTTCTTTACTCACTAAGATGTCTGAAAGTCCAATATTTCCAAGCTCTAGTAAAAAAGCTGTATCTAAGACTTTGATGAAACATGTCACGTGGTTTTATCATGATTAGTTCAAGAGCATATCAAGCTTAAAAAAAATACAAATAACACACTACATTTAAGAAGAACATTAGGACCTACCTGTTTAAAACTTTTTTTTTAGATTAGTTTGTCATTTTAGCTCTCGTGATTATGTTTGTATTGTTATCACAGCGCCTTAAGCCTACATTTTGTTTGTTAACAGCGCTCTATAAAGAAAATTATTAGTATAACTAGTCGACCCACGGCATAGCATATGCCGTTATTTTGCAGGGCCGGCCTTAGGCCAATGCAACCTATGCGACCGCAGTGGGCCTCGCACTTTCAAAGGACCTGCGCTAATTCTAGGTGTAAATTATTAAATTAAACCATTTTATAACAACTTATAACAGAATTCCCGGAGCATCCTGATTTACCAGGAGCTCCAAGAAATCTCCTGAAATTGCAAAATATTCGAAAACGTCAGGGAAATCTCCCGATATTATTAAAATCTTTTGAAAACTAAAAAAAATAAATAATCCTGAAATATATAGAAAAAAAATTGTCATTCTGGGGTGTCATTCTAAATGGTAAACGCCAATCCTACTCTCGATTAAGAAAAAACAGCATTATGCAATACCTTAATTGTGGAATTTGGTGAAAGAAACTAATGAAGAATTAGTTGAGGTCAACAATTCTCGAAGATAGATTGAAACATTTGGTAATTCTTGCTATTGAGCGTGATCTATGCAGTGAACAGAATTTTTATGATGTACTGTATGGCTACACGCAAGGCTCGTAAAGTAATTCTGTAGGTGGTAAAGAATGAATAAAATGCAAAGACGAATTTATTTTCTAATACAAATTCTTAATTTTCCATTATAATCCGCATCCTTACTCAAACTGGGCCCCGCAAATTCCCTTTTGCATAGGGCCAAACAATGGTTAAGTCCGGCCCTGCTATTTAGTGGCGGGTGAATACATAGTAGATCAATTGCTCTCCTCACCCCCACCCCCTCTTTTTTTTCGCAGACCGCTAAAACTACGTGGGGTAGAAATAAAAAAAGAGTGATCTTTTCATGACTTCTTGGTCACAACGGTTAAGTCCGGCCCTGCTATTTTGTGACGGATGAATACTACCCCCCCCCTCTTTTTTTTTTCGTAGGATAACTCTAGTCCGCCCGACTTGTAAAAAAAAGAGTGATCTTTCCATTATGTGTTGTCTAAACTCTTGAGCCATGAAGAGAATTATATATAGAGAAGATTATTATTATTATATAATATATTATTATTAGCATGTTTGTTTAACGGTTGTAAGCATTTTATTTTCTGTTTCTCTGAATAAGATCTAGACTTGTATCTAGTTCACCGATTGCTGAGAATAGAATTATGTTATCTTCACATGAGCTTTTGATTTTGTGATTTATGTGGGTTTTTTTTTCTGTTCTTTTCTCTTGGTTGCCAAAAAAACACCCACATTGACAGGACAACCAAAAAAAAAAAAGATTTTTGTATAGCACTTTGTCACATTAGTTAGTCAGTAAGAGACATGACAAGAGAGCCAACTAATCAAGCATTAGCCAATGAGCAGAGTATAGAGAAAATCTTTCTTCTAACTGAAGACTCAATAATTAATC